GATTAATAAAATATATGCATTTTTTGCGACGGTTTCTTTCATGATTTTTAAATTAAACAAATCGAACACTGTTAATCTGTCGGGAGTATAGTTGGTTGCCTACCTTATTTTACAATTTAATTTAGAATTAAGAAAGATGTGAACAGTAATAAAATAATGACTAATCTCACTATACAAAAGTAAGGGAATGAATTATTTAACAAAGCGTGAGAATTTTAGAAAGCACATAATTTTTTGCGCTTCATCTCGTTAAATGCGCTCAATGTGTGTGTTTTTCTTTTTTAGTAAAAAGTCCATATTTACTTTACAAATAACATAAAAGCGTTATAACTGCACAGGCGTGAAGTTTGTTGTGTAATTACGCGGATCGAAAACAATGTGTGGGCCCATGTGCAACGTAAAAACTTTATCCCAGCTCCACCATTTATTTGATCTTTTTTTTTTATTTTTTAATAAGAGAAAAAGATAATTGTGTTGTAATGTGAAGTCGGCCGTTTAATTTGTTCCACTCAAACAAAATACAACGTGGACGTAACATGACACTGTTTTAGCGCCGGAATTTTATTTTTGTAATTACAATAATTATTAATGATGATAAAAAATAATCGCCCTACTTTTCCATGACGAAATATTCTTTAAATAATCCATATCGATCGGGTCTAGCCATAATAATTAACTCACTTGTTGAAACAATGAACAAAAAAAGTACGTGAGTTATTTTTAGACCGGGTAGCAACAAGAAAGACTAATATTTAAATCATGAGGACAAATGAAACACAGAAATTCACTACAAAGCTTAAAATGTCAGGCCACCATGTGTGAATACGTACAAACAGTGGAGAAACAAAAAATTGTAGGTGCTGTTATTATTATTGATACCATCATCATTACAATGGTTACATTATGCCTAGTATCTGGCCGGAATACGTAATAATAGGTTAATAATGCAAAATCAATGCATTCTTGGCCACTTAGGCATCTAATCGAATATTAACATTATTGAAACTGAATTTCAAACAATATATAAATTAAATATTTGTTTATGAAGCAAAAACAATAAATTTATGTGTGCATTCCAAACAGGTTTTGCTTTGGAACTAAATTATTTTACTGCAATTAAAATAAGTAGAATTGTATGGCTTCAAAGCTGAATTTATTTAGGATGAAGCGTTATTTTAATATGGTAAACGACACACTAGAGACTAAAATTTGTTTGTCAGGGTACTCATAGTAAATAATAAAATAATAATAATAATAATCTAATTACTGTCGCTATTACGCAAAAATTCCGGTGAAGTTACGTGTTTTCCGGATTTTCCAAATTGCTCACAATATGAAGGGTTTCGACGGGCATCACCACATCCCGTAATTAATTACTTCCGTGTGGTTCTAGTAGTCTAGAATGTACAGACCTTAGAGAATATCGAATCTCTAGAGAACCATAGAGAATAATAGATAATGTATTTCTAATTTTATTGGTGGCAAAATCCAGAGAGAATTTAGAGAGTCTCCGAACTTTACAAAGCCTTCAGAGCGCATAGCATCTACAGAATCTAGAAACTTTAGAACATCTTCTAAGGAATGTAGATTCCTTAGTTTAGTGCCTAGAAACCCTAGAGGGTTTAGACTGAAAAATCAACAGTCCAGATAACCTCGTACAAAACAAATGGAGCCTAGAAATTTTAAGAACCTTAAAAAGCCTAGAGATCCTGGAATATCTGCAGAGTACAGTTTCAAGAATATAAACTTTTTATAGAGCTTACAGTAGCTAGGGATCCCATAAAATGTATAAAATCAAGCAAGTCCAGAATTTAGAGATCTCAGAGAATATGGAGACTCCAGAGAACAAGCTAAACAGTCTAGGTAATTTAAGGATTGGAGATTCTAGAGCAAATTTTGAGCATCCACGAAGTTTAGTAAACCTCCAGAGAATAAAAAATCTAGAAAAATTAGAAAATTTTGAATATCTAGACGCCTTAGTTTAATAGCTCAAAACCCAAGAGGTTATCCAGAGAATCTACAAAGTCTAGAGCGACAATGATTATAGAAAGTCTGCGATATGTAGAAACTCTACAAAACATATAGAGCCTAGAGATGTTAGAAACCCTAGAGAGCCTAGAAAGTCCGACATATCCACAGAGTTTATTGTGTAGAAACTATACACAGATTAAAAAATCTAGTCTGGAATCTAAAGAATTTAAAGAGCTAGCGATCGCAGAAAATCTATAAAATCTAGCAGTCTAGAGTTTACAGACCTTAAAGAATATCGAATCTTTAGAGAACCATAGATAATAATAATAGATAATGTATTTCTAATTTTAATGGTGGCAAAATCCAAAGAGAATTTAAGAGAGTCTCCGAGCACATAGAATCTAGAGAATCTAGAAACTTTAGAACATCTTCTAAAGAATGTAATTCCTTAGTTTAGTGCCTAGAAACCTTAGAGGGTATAAACTGAAAAATCAACAGTCCAGAGAACCTCCTACAAAACAAAAAGAGCCTAGAAAGTTTAAGAACCTTAAAAAGCCTAGGGGGCCTTGAATATCTACAGAGTAAAGCGTCAAGAATATAAACTTTTTGTAGAGCTAATAGTAGCTAGGGAGCCCATAAAATCTATAAAATCAAGCAGGTCCAGAATTTAGAGATCTCAGAGAATATGGAGACTCCAGAGAACAACTTAGACAGTCTAGGTAATTTAGTACTTAGTAAGATAAGACTGATTTTCCCGACATACCTACTAAGAAAATAAAGGGCGGATGGGCGGGGCTAGTATTTGCTAAGGTGAGTCTGATTTTCCCAAATGACATACCCTATAAGATGATGGGGGGTAGGCTAGGACTTGCCAAGATAAGACTGATTGTGGCCAATGACATACTCTCGAAGAAAATAAAGGGTGGGTGGGCGGGGCTAGTATTTGTATTTGCTAAGTTATAGCTGATTTGGAAAATGACTTATTCTCTAAGAAAAAAAAAGGACGGGTGGGCGGGGCTAGCACTTGCCAAGACAAGACTGTGTTTGGCAAATCACATACTCTCTAAGAAAATAAAGGGCGGGTGGGCGGGGCTAGTACGTGCCAAGATAAGACTGATTTCGGCAAATGACGTACTCTAAGAAAATAAAGGACGGGTGGGCGGGCCTAGTATTTGCTAAGGTAAGTCTGATTTGGCAAATGACTTGTTCTCTAAGAAAAAAAGGGCGGGGCTAGTACATGCCAAGACAAGACTGTTTTTGGCAAATGACATACTCTCTAAGAAAATAATGGGCGGGTGGGCGGGCCTAGTACTTGCTAAGATAAGATTGGTTTTGGCAAATGACATACCCTCTAAGATAATAAGGGAGTGGGGAGGGGGGAGGCTAGTACTTGCCAAGATAAGACTGATTTTGTCAAATGACATATTCTCTAAGAAAATAAAGGGCGGGTGGGCGGGCCTAGTATTTGCTAAGATAAATCTGATTTGGCAAATGACTTATTCTCTAAGAAAAAAAGGGCGGGTGGACGGGGCTAGCACTTGCTAAGACAAGACTGTTTTTGGCAAATGACATACTCTCTAAGAAAATAAAGGGCGGGTGGGCGGTTCTAGTACTTGCCAAGATAAGACTGATTTTGGCAAATGACCTACCCTTTCCTGACACTTTCCATGTGATGCGTTGTGATCGTAATCTACCAGTTCACGAGAGATGGTAGTGCGTAAGTATTATTAATACTTACTAGTGGCCTAAATCAGTCTTATCTTAACATGTACCAGCCCTGCATACCCGCCCTTTATTTTATTAGAGAGTAGGTCATTTAACAAATTCAGTCTTATCGTTACAGATACTAGCCCCACCCACCCACCCTTTAATTTATTAGAAAATATGTCATTTGCCAAATCAGTCGTGTCTTAGGAAGTATTAGCCCCGCCCACCCGCCCTCTATTTTCATACAGGGTATATCATTGGCCAAAATCAGTCTTATCTTTACAAATACAAGCCCCACCCGGCGGCCCTTTTTTTCTTAGAGAATAGGTAATTTGCCAAAATCAGTCTTATCTCAGTAACTACCACTCCGTCCAACTAACCTTTATTTTCTTAGAGAGTGGCTCATTTAACAAAATCAGTTTTATCTTAGCAAGTATTAGCCCCGTCCACTCGCCCTTTATTTTCCTAGCGAGTAGATTTTTTGCCAAAATCAGTCGTATCTTAACAAGTCCTAGTCCCGCCCACCCGCCCTTTATTTTCTTAGAAGGATGTTATTTGGCAAAATCAATCATATCTTAACAAGTACTAGCGAAACTCGAATTGATTTAACGCCAGAGTTTCCTCCAATATTTTAAATAACATAATTTGAAAAGAAGATTTCGCATATAAACAAAATGCAAAATATAAGAGGTTATCTAGAGAATCTACAGAGTCTAGAGAGACCACTGATTATAGAAAGTCTAGGGTATGTAGAAACTATACAAATTTAAAAGCTAGTATGGAATCTAAAGAATTTTAAAATTTTGAGAATTTACAGTAGCTAGAGATCCCAGAAAATACATAAAATCTAGCAAAATCTAGAGTCTACAGATCTTAGAGTATATCGAGTCTCTAGAGAACAAATATGTAGTTTTCTCTCACACTACAGACTCAAATTTGTTTGTGAGGGTACTCATAATAAATAATAAAATAATAATAATCTAATTACTGTCCCTATTACGAAAAAATTCCGATGAAGCTACGTGTTTTCCGGATTTTCCAGATTGCTCACAATATGAAGGGTTTTGACGGTCGTCACCACATCCCGTAATTAATTACTTGCGTGCGGTCCAATGCCCGAAAGTCATCATTAATAACCAAAACCATGATTTCTAGCTTCGTCGTTACCTCCCCAAGATAATCCCATTTTAGCAGATACAAAAAATAACGTTCTGAGAATACTTATTTACTTGGTTTTAACAGAACATTCCGTTGATTGTATAAGATGTCAGAATTAAAAAAAAAACGTAAAATATACAGGTGTCATGTAATCCTGTTCACAGAGCAACTCGGCACGCCGTCGCAGCAGTTCATGGTCCGACTCCAGCCCACCGTACGCAACTACGTGGAAAACCGGCCCCGTTACACCGGCTTCCCGTTCGACAAACTCTTCCCTGACGTGCTGTTCCCTTCGGACAGCAACGAGCACAATCGGCTTAAGGCCAGCCAAGCGAGAGACTTGCTATCGAGGATGCTGGTGATCGACCCGGAGCGGAGGATATCGGTCGACGACGCCCTCCTACATCCGTACATCAACGTGTGGTACGACGAGCAGGAAGTGAATGCGGTAAGCTGGCGAAACCTTTGTGAATTAATGATGAAGTGTTTGCGGAAAAGTTGCGAACCGAAAAGTTTCGAAGACATTTCACAGACATTTCCTGGCGTGTTGGAAAAGTTGCGAAAAGTACTGACCTTTTGCATACTTATGAATAGTGAAGGGAAGTCGAGTGGGTTTTAGGCTGTATAAAAAAAAAGATACAGTCGGACTTCGGCGAGGTGGACTGGAATTGCCAGATTGTGGGAAAACAATGCAATATGGAATTTTGGTTTTTTCATACAGGGTTGTTCACCAGAAGTTCCACTGTAAAAAAATCAGAATGCAACCAATAATACAATTGCGTAAAAAGAACTGGTCAAACACTCACTATATATTTAATCTTTTCATTGTTTAAATATAACTATTTTGCATAAATTCTGCCAAAATGTCAATTTTAACATGGCAATATTTGAGATTACGTCAGTATTATTACAATAAAACATACAGTTTCCGACAAAAATTTCAAACATCACTTTTCTGTCATGTCAAAAATTTTAATGTAGTCTATGCTTTATTGTCATTATTTCGGACAGCTGGAATGGCAAAATTCCAGCTTACGCTACAGCTACATTCATGTAAGTGTTAAATGTAAAAGTTAAAAATGACTGTCAAATATTAAGGTTAGAAACATCTAAAGGTTGCTTTACACACGCTATCTGACGACTGAATGACATTGAGGTCTGAAATGTTTTGGCGGCAACTGTAGCTATATTCTACTTTTTTCAAAAATTTAGCTTTACCAAAAATATCGAGAAATCGAACGATCGAAAAATCGAGAAATTGATAAATCAAAAAATGTTTTAAATCGATTTCAAAAACCCAAATCGCAATCCGAAAGATCCAATCATCAAAAAATCACAAAATTAAAATAGAGAAATCTAAAAATCGAGGGCCCGAAAAATCCAAAGTTGAAAAATTCCAAAACTGGAAAGAAAAATTGAGAAATCAAAAAATTTTAAAAACCGAAAAATCTAAAGATGGAATAATCAGAACATCAAAAAATCGAAAAATTGAAAAACCCAGGAATTGAAAAATTCCTAAAATCGAAAAGTCCAAAATTAAAAAAATCAGAAAACTGAGGTGTCAAGAAATCGAATAAAAAATTGAAAAAATTAAAATAAAGAGTTTCAAAATTGAAAAAACTGAAATACATATAAAAATATTGAAGAACAGAAAAATCCGGAAATCGAAAAATCCAAAATTAAAAAAAAAATTGAGAAATTGAAAAACTGAAAAGTCGATAAAGTGAGAAATTGAAACTAAAAAAAATGAAAAACTGAAAGATCGAGAGGTTGAAAAAAAATCCAGACATCGAAAAATCGAAACATCCAGAAAGCTATAAAATATAAAATTAAAAGAATCTAAAATTTAAAAATCGGAAAATTATATAAAAAAAAATTAAGCTGAAAACTGAAGATTCTAAGAAAACTGAAAAATCGACAAATTGAATCAACAAAAATTGAAAAATTCCCAAAATTAAATTGTTGAAAAATTGACAAATCGAGAAAACTAAAAATCGAAAAATAGAAATAAAGATTTTCAAAATTTGAAAAATTGAAATACATGTAGAAAGATCAAAAAATCGTAAAACCGAACGCTAGAAATCCAAGATTAAAAGAAAAAGTTTATAAATCGGAAAGTTGAAAAATCGAGATATTGAAAAATTCCAAAACTGAAATGGCAAAAAATTGGGAAATCGAAAAATTGAAAAACTGAAACATCGAGAAATTCAAACATCAACAGATGGCAAAATCGAAAAGTCGAAAAATTAAGAATTAAAAAATTGAAAAATCGAGACATCAGAAAACTATAAAATATAAAATTGAAAAAACTGAAAAATGAAAAAAAATCGAAAATTTAAAAATCAAAAAATTTGAAAAAGGGAAAACTGAAAAATTGGAAAATTGAAGACTCGAAAAAAATTGAAAAACTGGACCATCGAGAAGTCGAAATTACCCAAAATCGCAAGAATTAAAAAATTGAAAAATTCAGTTATCAAAATCGCGATAAGTCGAGAAACCGAAAAATCGAAAGTTTTAAAAATCTAAAAATTAAAAAATACAAATATCGAAAAAAAAATCCAGACACCTGGAAATCAAAAAATATAAAATTTAAGAAATTGAAGAATTAAAATATCGCAAAATTCAGGAATCGATAAATGGAAATATGTATCAAGAAATTGTAAAATCGGAAAATTGAAGAATCGAGACATTAAAAAATCTAAAAATGAAAATATCTAATACTTGAAAAATCCAGAAATTGAAAAATCCCCAAAATTGAACTGTTGAAAAATTGAGAAATCGGAAGCTTGGAAAATCCAGAAAGTTAAAAATGGAAAAGTCGAAACATTTTAAAAGTCTAAATACCGAAAAAAGAAAAATCAAAAATTAAAAAAAATGGAAAAAATTGATAAATTGAAAAGTTGAGAAATCGAGAAAAATTGTAAAATTCCAAAACTGAAATAACGAAAAATTGAGAAATCGAAATAGTCCAATTCGAAAAATTAAGAACTGAACAATTGAAAAATTTTAATTTAAAAAACAATTGAAAAATAGAAATGTATAACTAAAAAATTGTAAAATCGAGACATCCAGAAATCGAAAAATTGAAAAACCGAATCATCAAAAATTCGAAAACCAAATTCACCAACAATAGGGAAATCGAAAAATTGGAAATTCAAATAGCCGAAAGTCGAAAAATCCAGAGGTTGAGACAACAAAAATTGAAAAACTGAAACAAGGAGAAATCGAAATAGCCAAAAATCGAACACTTGAAAAATTGAAAAATTGAACATTTGATTGAAAAATTAAAATATCGAAATCTCTGTAAATCGAAAAATCCAGACATTAAAATTGAAAAGCTGAAAAATTGATAAATTAAGGAATTGAAGAATGGAAAAACTGAAAAATTCCAAAATTAAAATAACGAAAAATTAGGAAATCGAAAAGCCAAAAGTTGAAAAACTGAAACATCGAAAAATTGAAACAACAAAAATTTTAAAATCAAAAATTAAGAAATAGAAATATCGAACAATGAATAATCGGGACATCTAGAGATCAAAAATAAAAAAAAATAAAATATCGAAAAATTGATAAATTGGAAAATTGAAGATTAGGAAAAACTGAAAAATGGAGAAATTGAAAAATTCCAAAACTGAAACATTGAAAAATCGAAATTACCCAAAATCGAAAAGTTAAGAATCGAAAAATTGAAAAATATAAATATCGAAGAACTGAAAAATCAAAAAATCGAGACATCTAGGAATAAAAAAATATGATATTTTAACAATTGAAAAAAAAAATCAAAAAATCCGTGTTTTAAAAAAACGAAAAATTGAGAAATCGAAAATTAAAAAATCGCAACATCGAAAAATTGAAAATTCGAAAAACCAAGAAATCCAAACAAAAATTGAGTCCAAAAGTACGAATTGAAAAATTGAAAAATTTTACATTGAAAAAAAATTAAAAATTGAGACATTAAAACATCGCAAAGCTGAAAAATTGATGCATTAAAAAATAGGGAAATCGAAAAGCCAAAAGTTGAAAAATTGAAAAACCGAGAAATTGAAACAAAAATTTAAAAATCGAAAAATCGAGACATGTAGAAATTCAAAAAATATAAAATTTAAAAAATAGAAAAATTATTAAATCGAGAAGCTGAAAAATTGATAAATTGGAAAATTGAAGATTCGAAAAAACTGAAATTACAAAAAATTAGGAAATCGAAATAACAAAAATTGAAAAATTTACATTTACATAAAATATGAAATCTTGAAAAATCGAGAAATTCGAGAATCAAAATCGAAAAAGTAAAAAATAATATCGAAGAAGGAATCAACAAATATAAAATTTAAAAAATTGAGAAATCTATAAAATGAGAAATCGAATAATCCAAGTTTAAAAAAAAAAACGAAAAATTGAAAAATTGCAACATCGAAAAATTGAAAAACCAAGAAATCAAAACAACAGAAGTCGAAAAGTTACGAATTGAAAAATCGAGAAAAAGAAAAATAAAAAATCGTAGAATCGAAAAATTTAAAAAAAAACGAAATGCGGGAAAATCGACAGATCAGGAAATCGAGCATTGATGAACTGAAAAATCAAGAAATCAGAAGATCAAAAATTTTTAAAATTGGAAAATTAAGATATCGAAAATTGAGAAATTGAAAGATGGAAAAATCGTAAAACATCGGAAAATTGAGATTTTTTTTCCCCCTCCAAAGTCTCAATTTGTATGATCAAAAATTCAACACGGATTCGTAAACCACAAGTTCAGAACTGTTACTTTTTAACATTTAAATAACATTTATTCGACAAAATTGTAAGATGACATCATGAATTTCTGGGGAGAAGTGCGTTATGAAAATATCAAAAATGATTTTGCAATTTATTTCTGGTTACTTTTTGAACTTTTAAGTCCGGAACTTCTTGTAAATAAACACAAACAGCCAATTATTTATCCTTCAAAACGATAATCTGTAATGTTAAAGATCAAATAAGGTCCGGTCGCGAAAATATCCTCCACCACGCCCGCGTACCGCAGCGTCGACTTTTCGCAGCTTCTCCCATACTTCCATCGTCGTTCGTAAACTTTCCCCTTTGAGAATTTCCAAACTTAGTTATCCATTGTGAATAAACCTAGTGTCGTTCACGACAGCCCGCGCCCGGCCCCTACGACCACAGCGTCGACGAGCGCGAGCACACCGTCGAACAATGGAAAGAACTGATCTATCAGGAAGTCATGGAATACGAGAGTTCGCGCGGAAGAGGCGCTTCAAGTTCACAACCGAGTCCCGCATCAAATTCAATCGAGCCAAATGGGACGGATTCGATGCGGTAGAAAAGGTGAGTGGGCCGAGGAGGTTAGAGGTGGGCTAACAGGCCGTGTGAATCTCGGGGATGGGCCATTGTGGGTTGCTGGTAATAAGATGGAGGCCGATAAGGTTTATGGCGGTTTTCATGGTGGGAGATAAGCGGCTTTGCCGTGTTGAATTAAATGCAAGGAAGAATTCGATAGGTGGTATACGCAAACAGTACGTAACTTATATACTGTATAATCGAAAAAAAAAAACTATTAATGATAAAATATTGTAGGTCAAGTTGACTCTGAAACATCTGTCACTGCATTTTTAATTATGAATTTGAGGTTATGGTTGACATTTGTGACACTTGTGACAGATGACGCAGCGGCAAAATTCAAATTTTTTTTCAAATTAAATCCACGCCTAGGGGATATCCACTTTGGATTGGAATCTGAAACGATTTAAACACACTCGGGTGTGTCTGAGAGATCCACTATCACAGCACTTGGGGCTATAAAGCTCAGTTACCGAAATTTGACGAGGGAACTAATTACTAGTTAAGCGAATTTGACCGTTGAGTACCCGTCGGGCATCTGAAAGTTTGGAAGACGATTATCCGAATAATGCACGTGTGATAATAGCTGAAATGTGTAGATTTTAAATTGTTCTGGTTACTTACATTACAATGTATAAACCGTTTAGTATGTTTTTAGACAAAAGTGGGCCATGAACTTCACGTTGGATAAACTGGTAAGATTGACGTTCATTTGAGGCTGATTTGCCACATTTATTGTTATTTAGAAATCATATTATCGAGTTGCAAGATTTCTGACTTTTGTCATTAAATTTTAAAATGCGGAAAATATTTTTTTTCAGCAAAAAATTTCAATAAAAGTGTGCCATCTGCACACACTGAGTGCACATTGAGAAAAACTTATTTTGGCAAACTGGAAAAAACAAATTTGAAAAATCGGAAATTTGAAAACCCGAAATGTCGAAAAACCCTGAAATTGAAACAACGAGAACTTGAAACATCAAAAGATTGTGAAATCGAAATAGCCAAAAATCGAAAAATTAAGAATTGAAAAATTAAAATATCGAAATTTCGAGAAGTCGAAAAGCTGTTGAATTGAAAAACTGAAACATCGAAAAATTGAAAAATAGAAATATCGAAAAACGGAAAAATCGAGACATCCAGAAATCAAAAAATATGAAATATAAAAAATTGAAACGCTGTAAAATTGATAAATTGGCAAATTGAAGGATTGAAAAACGGAAAAATTGAAAAATTAAAAATTCGAAAAATCGAAAAACCAAGAAATCGGAGCAACAAAAATTGAGAAGTCGAAAAGATACGAATGGAAAAATTGAAAAATTTAACATTAAAAAAAATCGAAAAATTGGGAAATTGAACAACCGAAAAATCTAACACTTAAAAACTCGAAAAATTTATTACAAGCACATATTGAAGAACTGAAAAATAATCAAGAAATCAAAAGATCAGAAATTTTAAAAATTGAGAAGTTAAAATATCAAAAAAATGAAATATCTCAAAACTCCATGTCGAAAAATTGAATTGAAAAACTGAAACGTCCGAAAATTGAAACATCAAAAGATTGTGAAATCGAAAAATTAAGAATTGAAAAATCTGCAATTAAAAAAGTCGAAAAACTGAAAAATCGACACTTCCAAAAATCGGAGAGCTGAAAAATTGAGAAATTGAAAAATTTCAAAACTAAAATAACTGAAAATTCAAAAAATCGAGACTTTGGAATCAAAAAATACAAAATTTAAGAAATTGAAAAATTAAAATGTCGCAATATCGAAATATCAATAAATTGTAAAATCGGAAAATTTGGAGAATCGAAAAACCGAAATTTGAAAAATTCAAAAACCGAGAAATCGAAACAATGACTTAAAAATTGACAATTCGAAATAGCCCAAAATCGGAAAATTAAGAATTCAACCTTTGCAATTAAAAAAAACTGAAAACTTGAAAAGTCGGGAAATTGAACAACTGAAAAATTAAGATATCGAGATCTCGAGAAATCGAAAAATCGAGGCATCCAGAAATCGAAAAATATAAAATTTATAAAATCAAAAACTGAAAAATCGAAATTATCCAAAATCGAAAAGTTGAGAATTGAAAAATTTACAATTATGAAAAATTTACAATTAAATAAAATGCGAAAAATCGAAAAATCAAGACATCGAAATCAAAAAATGTAAAATTGAAATAATTGAAAAATTGAAATTTCCCAAAATTGAAGAATCGACAAAAGTAAAAAAATTGAAAAATCGGAACGTCGAAAAATTGAAAATTCGAAAAATCGTAAAACTAAGAAATTCTTAATATAAAAAAAAAAAATAAGAAGTCGAAAAGGATCGAATTGAAAAATTGAGAAGTCGAGAATTTGAACAATGGAGAAATTAAAACATCGAAATCTGAATAAATCGAGAAATCGGAAAATCGAAATATCATGAAACTCAAAAATCTAAAACTCAAACACTCGAAAAATTTTAAAAGTTGCAAAATTGTATTATCGAAAAAGTAAAAAATCGAGAAATTGAGAAATGGAAAAATCAAAAATTTAGAATCGTTAAAATTGAGTAAATAGAAAAATTGTGAAATCCAAATCAGCCAAATTCGAAAATTTAAGAATTGAAAAATTTACAATAAAATTAAATAGAAATTGAACAATCGAAAAACTGAAAAATCGAAAAATTGAAATATCAAAACATCGAAAAATTGAAAAACTGAAACATCGAGACTTCAAAAGATCAAAAGATCGAGAAAGCGAAAAATTGAGATCAATAAAATACGAAATGGAAAAATTGCAAAATTTAACATTGAAAAAAATCGAAAAACTGGAAAAATCGAAACATCATGAAACTGAAAAATCACGAAATCAAAAGATCAAAAATTTTAAAAATTGATAAATTGAAGAAAAACAAATAAAAAACCTGAAAAGTCGAGAAATTGAAAGATTCCAAAACTGAAATAAGAAAAATTGGGTAAATCGAAAAGCCGAAACTCGAAAAATTGGAAAACCGAGAAATCAATACAAAAATTGAAAAACTGAAACATCAAGAAATTGAGACGTCGAAAAATCGATAAATTGAGAAATCCAAATCACCCAAAATCGAAAAGTTAAGAATTGAAAAGTTTAAAATTAAATAAATAGTGTGGCGGCACAATAATATAAGCGAAGTAAAGATAAGTCGCTCTGTAGCCTAGTGGTCAAGGCATCGGCCCGGCAAGTGGGAGATGTGTGATTCAATTCCCACCGGGGCAGCAAACAGTTTTCTTCGCTTACCTACAATAGAAATAGAACAACAAAAATTGAAAAACATCGAGAAAGCCAAAAATTGAGAAGCCAAAAAGATACGAATTGAAAAATTACAAAATTTAACATTTAAAAAAATCGAAAAACCTGAAAAATCGAAAAATCGGGAAGTGGAATTGAAACGAAAAATTAAAATATCGAAATATCAATAAATTGTAAAATCGGAAAATTCAAGAATCGAAAAACTGAAAAATCGAGAAACTGAACAATTCCAAAACTGAAATGAAAAATTGAGAATTCGAAAAAATAAAAAAACGCAACATCGAAAAACCAAGAAATCGAAACGACAAAAATTGAAACATCAAAAGATAGCGAAATCGAAAAGTCGAAAAATTAAAAATTAAAACATTGAAATCTCGAGAAATTAAAAAATCGAGATCCAGAAACTATAAAACAAAATTAAAAAATTAAAGTATCGAAAAATGACAAAATCCGAAAGCTGAAAAATTTAATACTCGAAAAATCAATAAATCGAGACTCTGGAAATCAAAAAATATAAAATTTAAGAAATTGAAAAATTAAGTTCAATCGCAAGATTGAAACATCGATAAATCTAAACATCAAAAAATTGCAAAACTGGAAAAAACAGAAACCGAAAAATTGATAAAAAATCAGGAAATTGAAGAATCGAAAAGTTACAAATCGGAGGATCGAGAAATCGGAATATCATGAAACTCAAGAATCTACCACTTAAAAACTCGAAAAATTTAATAATAAATATTCCAGAACTGAAAAATATAGATTTCAAAAATTGAAAAATGGAAGAAAAATTGGGAAATAAACCTGAAAAATCGAGAAATCGAAAATTGTTATATCTACAAGTATAATTTAGATTTTTTTTTCCAAAAATCTCGATTTCTGGGATAAAAATTCAACACGGATTCATAAATCACAAGTACAGGACTGTTACTTTTGAACATTTAAATTTGATTAAATTGACTATACTTATTAAATACTGTAACTATAATTGTTTACTTCAGTGCTTTGAATCGTACTTTTTGGAATAAAAAAAACAAAGTGTGAAATTACTGACAACAATATTACAGTTTTTGTCAGATTTTCGTGTTAGTAAAACGATAAATTTCATTTTTCATTTGGGATTTTTACATATATCAAGTTGGTTGCCACCCAAATTACTAGATTTACATAGCCCACCTTTGTCTAAAATCATCCCGCCGCTATGAACTGTGATAGAACTTGCGATGATGTGCCAATTTACTCGAACTTCCAATTATAATACGATTTGCGATCCCCGTAGAATCGATTCATAATGGATTACGTAGGTCGTAGGTGGGCATTAAAAGCAGAGTTTCAAACTAATCACTCTGCCTTGTGTTTCAGGTTCTCGGTGAACGATAAGCTGATTATGGCCAATGGCGTACGCACTATTCGCTGAAGCTGTGTGTGGTTTTATTTATAGAACAAACTGACCCTTGATAAAGCAGTAAGCCCTCTATAGAGTCAGATTTACTATAACAAAAAAACTCAAAAAGCTTCAGGTTTAAGGTTGGCTGCACCGTCGCAAAGCCTACTCGTTACATCTAGATTAATGGTTGTGTGTATGTCACATGGTCTGTTAGCCTTTTGCCATTTAAGCGCTACTAATGATATATATTGGATTTTAATGTGTGTTGTTTTTCAGGATTTGGGACGTGAAGCACAAGTTGCAATTTCAACTAGTCTAACTTATTATATTATTGAAAATATTAATGACATAAAGCCCACCATAAAGTAGATGCTGATACCAACTAAACAGACAGAGAATATACATAGTGAGCTGTGTTTGTTAATACATTGACAGTGAGTATAAGACTACACACGGGTCCCTTTTTTCTATCAACCGGAAACTTTATATATCCTTAATCAGTATGTGTGATATTGATAACTTAAGACTAATTTGTATTTTGACCTTCTTTTCCAACTTTTTTATTTTTCCAAATAAACAAAATAAGATTTAAGCAACGTATTTTTGCAAGAAAAATCAGCAGATACAGATATACGAAGCATTGTTTGAAGGAGCGTCGTTTTCGGACAATCATTCAGTTCATTCAGTTTCCATTAAAAATACAAATTAGTAATAAATGTATAACAAAATAATAAATATTAGGTAGTACCTAGTTATTATAATTATTATGGTAGTCTTGTTTTTTCTTTTGTCATTATTATTTATTTTCTCGTTCGAGCGCAATATTTTTCTATTAATAGGTACATCTGTTTTATAACTTTATTAACTTATTTTTGCTCTTTTTAAAGTTTTATAGTTATATAGACATATAAATAGAGTTAGTGAGTATAACCATTTGAAACTAAGGTAGGAACATCAAGTTGAAAATGATAAACGTTTACATAATTTGGAGTCAAATTGTGTGAAACTAGCGGAGAAAATTACAATAATAACTTTATGTACTTGTGAACATCCGATCCAAAAACTGTAAAAAGTGACAATTAGTGAATTTTATAGGTGGATTTATTTTTTGTTGTTTATTACGATTTTGTTGTGTTTTTAAAAATGGTAAATTCTTTTTTATTTATTCGTGCAATTTGTAAACGTCACCGGCGGTTACATTTTTGTTTTAACCTTAATTCTTTCATTGTGATTAAATCGTGAATGTGCAAAGACTTCTAAAAGAATAACTTAAGATAGAGAAGAGTTGCGTAGTTTTTAAAGTTTTTAATGTAAATTTTTTAATTAATTTATTTTGTTTTTTAAATAATTTATTTAAGATGATCGTTTTATTGTTTCTTTCTCTCTTGAAGAATAATGTAAATAACTTCTCAATTAGACTTACTTGATTTTTTCGACTTTCCACTTATCCTAGCTAAAACAAAACATTTTACGCGTAGACGACAAATTGCAAATCGGTAGAATATTTTTGTGTAGGTGATATCACCTTTCATTCTGTTCTTGTTCTTTTTCGAAGACACATTCTAGAGTGTTTTACCGGTTTACAAGAAAATTATTAAAGAAATCACGTTTAGTAATTTGTAGTATACATACAATGCTTGTATTGTTCTGCTTTGTAAATAAAATAAACAAAGTAAACTGATTATGTGTCTCGTTGATTCATTCATACACACTTTTCCATTCCTTTAAAAATACAGTCAATTAGAGCTGGCTGTGTGATTATAGGTTATGTTGTAATAAAAAAATGCATCAATATCTGTAATAATCCATTAAGCATCAATCAATTACTTAGTAGTTAGTTATAAATATTAATAATAAGTATAAATATAGTAAATCTTACATCACATTGTATAAATTGTACAAAAGTTTCAATTTATCTCGTAAAATGTTCAACACTAATCAAAAAATCAAAAAAGCAAATTAAAACTTTTGCTTACAAAATCTAACCTTAAAATTACGCCAGTTAAAACAACCATATGGCGAAGATTCTAACACAGCTTTACGATCATCATAAAATATCACAAATCGACTTGTTCATAAAATATGTACATCTAAAACTCCAAAGATGGCGCTCTCGTAAATTATTCCCCTACAACAATACTCGCGATCTTTAAGTAATAATTTACGAACATTCATAACAAGCGGAGTCATTCCACAATCACCATAACAAACAACCTCCATAAATGACCAATCAAAATCCGTTAACGACACAAACATTAAAACAAATACATTCAATATCATACAAACTATAGTCACATCAAAACTGACGGAAAACAAGAGGGCGCCACTTAAACTTGGTACTACTCTACAATCTACCAATTCTCTCTCGGGCTAGTGTCATGAATGGGCGACGACGACGAGGTGCTCTTGCGTTCGGCTCCAGGTGCTATCGCGAACGAGCTGGACCGCTTGTTCAGTTCGGTGATGGCCATCAGCATCTTGCGGCGGCTGCCGAAGGCTGTCACGCCGATTGTTACGAGGTCTTTTTCTGACAGGGTGGCGAAGGTGGCCAGGTCGACTTCGTTCTGTACGAATAAGGTGACGTATCTGTCCAGACCCAGGGAACTGAGCAGCGAAGGGAGGTCCGACCAGATGCTGGTGGTCAAGCGGGTGACTAAGTGGGTTGGAGTGTGGTCCAGGATGTTGCTCGTGTTCATGGTTATTCCCGATGTGGATGGGAAGGTTTCGGGGGATTTCCAGATGTCGTCGTCCTTTTTCAGGAGTCTGAAGGGAGTAATATACTGAGCATAGAATGATTCGAAAATGTTTTGATTTAGAGTTGACTGCTACACTATTGTTGGCAGTGATTGGAACAATTACTTTTAAAAAGTGATGCATTACTTCAACAATTTACATTGGTGGGAGATTTCAAAATATCTTATTGGTTACGTGTAAATGTATCGTAAATTTTAGTCCACCCATAATTACGTACGGACGCAAATCTTTAATAAAAAGGATGTTCCTAAATACTTAGAAGATAATGTAAACTTAAAAGTCTGTCTTTAATTGCCTCTTACTTGGCGTTGTGACTTACAGATTAAATTTAGAAAACCTTACAGAGTGGACACTATAAAATTATATTGTCGGATTGTGAGGGGTTTAAAAGGACGGGCTCTATCGGTTATCTGCTATAGATTTGACTGGACCAGAAAAATGGCTAAAGTTTGTTTGACCATAAATTTTAAATATTCTGTCCCTGTTTACTCAATTATTTATTAAGATATTTTATTTCTGTAAAGCGCAATGGATTTTTTAATACATTTTCTACTAATTTACCTTTTTGAAAATTTAAAATTGATCCATAAATAGCGAAAATTTTAAAAAAAGGAAAAGCAGTCTGAGTAGGGTTTTTTACGCTCGTTTCAACGGTGTGCCAAAATAAGTTTTACCTTTGCAAGTACTAGCCCCGCCCACCTGTCCTCTATTTTCTCAGAGGGTATGGCGTTTGCCAAAATCAGTCTTATCTGAGTAAGTACTAGCCCCACCCACCTGCCCCTATTTTCTCAGAGGAAATGTCATTTGCCAAATTTGGGCGGGGCTAGTACTTACTCAGATAAGACTGATTTTGGCAAACGCCATATCCTCTGAGAAAATAGGGGGCGGGTGGGCGGGCCTAGTACTTGGTATGATAAGACTGATTTTGGCAAATGACATATCCTCTAAGAAAATACGGATGGGTGGGCGGGGCCAGTGCTTGGTAAGATAAGTCTGATTTTGGCAAATGACACTGAAATACTCAATGAGTCCTAAGATTTTTTCTTATTTTTAAAGGAAAACATACTCAGCGTCCCTGAGATTCTTTTGTATTCTTAAAGGAAAAGACATTAGTGACCTCGAGATTCTTTCGCATTAAAAAAAATGCACCAGCGACCATCTAGAGGGATTTTGGCAAATGACACTGAAATACTCAATGAGTCCTAAGATTCTTTCTTATTTTTAAAGGAAAACATACTCAGAGTCCCTGAGATTCTTTCGTATTCTTAAAGAAGAAATACATTTGGAGTCCCTGAGATTCTTTTGCGTTCTTAAAGAATGTGAAAGAGTCTCGGGGATCTTAGATTCTTTCGTATTCTTAGAGAAAAGAGACACTAGAGTCCTCCGAGATTCTTTCACACTAGGGAAAGACTCTGGAAGTCCTCGAGATTCTTTTGCCATTCTTTAAAAAAAAAAGACTCTTAGGTCCGAAGAACATTTCTTATTCTTAAAGGAAAGCACACTTAGGGTCCCTGGGATTCTTCCGCACTAAAAAAAGTCACTAGGTAGGCTCGAAATTCTTTCAAATTAAAAAAAGTCACTAGAAGTCTTCACGATTTTTTCATATTCATAAAAAAAGACACAAAGAACCCCCGGGATTCTTATGCCATTTTAAGACACAAGATTAGATTGTTTCGCATTCTTAAGGAAAAACACAAGGAGTCCCCGACATTCTTTTGCCATCCAAAAACGGCTAGGGGCCCCTGGCATTCTTTAATTTTTTTTCTGGGGAGCGGACTTCGCGAACATGATCAGACATGACACGACCAGGTTTAACTAGACTTGATTTAACCTAATTCCACCTGACCTGACCTGGCCTGACTTTTTTGGACATTCTTAAAAAAGACACTAGGAATCTGCGAGATTTTTTTACATTTAAAATAAAACACAAGCTTCTCCCCCCAGAAAAAAAAACAATATTTTTGAGTATTTGGGTTAAAAGTAATTGTAAAAGTGACTGAATTACTCATTACTTGAAAAGGAATAAGTAATGAATTACTTGTAATTGAATTACTTCCAATCACTGATTCTGGGTCACATTGATTAAAAAATTGTGACGTTTTCTGTTAACACCACCAAGATCAGTGTGCGCATGCGCACTTATAGTGATTTAGGGACAGCAATTGTATTACACTCTCCCAAGATCGAGTTGAATTAGTTTTCCCCTTAAGCAGACAAATTTAGAGAAGATTATAGATTCTTCACTTTTTGTGAATTTTGGGTATTTATCCATAAAATATTTTTTGAACTACATCGTCACCATTTATATGGTAGAGTGTAAATATCATGAGAATAACATGCTACGTTCTGAAATGGGACCAATTTAAAAATATATTTTCTGCAATGCTGTTCAACCACAAACAAAAAACAAAACAGACGGGCGCTAGCGGTACAACCAGCCTGTACAGTTTCCTCCCCCTAAATTGGCAGGTAAACCCGTCCGGACGCCTTTATGTCACTAAGTCGTTTTATATTGTATTCTTCTCAAAATATTTCCACTCTAGCTTTGCCGACATATTTAATATCTCATCGACGTTTCAGAACTCACAGAATAAATCTCCAAAACGAATGGGCTGACTCTTGTGATGCTTTCACCGTAGTTTGAGAATATTGTATAGACGGTAACACTCTAACCAACCTTTGTTCTCCCCAGCAAAAAATTAATTACGTCATCTCAAATTTTTGCTAAGTGTTATTTAAAAAAGTAAATAATATGGTTCTACCGAGTGTCTGGAAAATGGCCGATTAACTCTCCGCTACGCTCTTAACATTCATCACAATAACTTGTAAAGAAACCTTTACTTAATATTTCTCTCGCCCTTTTATTTCCGGAGAAATTTAAAGGAATCTGGTGTTTTGTTGTTAGATGAACTTGAAAAAATCTTTTGAGCTTTCAGTGTTTTATTTTTTATAAATTCGAAAAAGTCGCGAGTGCCGCAGTGTTTTCTTTTTTTAATTCGAGAGATTCTTGGGTACTCATGGTATATTATTTCGAGAGCACCAAGAGATTTCTTTTGTAGATTATTTAAAACAATTTTGGGGGACTTTGGTGCTCTATTTTTGGAAAATTCTGACCTGTCCTGTTTTTGAGTTAATTTTGGAACCCTCGTGTGTCTTTTCTTATAATAATTTAAATTTTTCAAGAGGATACATCATTGGCTAAAATCAGTCTTAACAGGTACTAGCCCCGCCCACCCATCCTTTTCTTAGAAGGTATCTCATTAGCCAAAATCAGTCTTATCTTAGCAGCTACTAACCCCGACCACCCACCCTCTCTTTTCTTAAAAAGTATGTCACTTGCCAAAATCAGTCTTATCTTATTAGCTACTAGGGCCACCCACCCTATCTTTTCGTATAAGGTATGTCACTTGCCAAATTCAGTCTTATCTTAACAAGTACTAGTGCCACCCACCCACCCTCTCTTTTCTTACTGCCCATTCACAATGGACATAAGGCATAACAAGTACATAAAGCTTACATAAATACATAAAGTTGAAACGATGGAAAACGCGTACCCCTGTTCACAGTGGACGAACGTAGTTCTTATGCTTATGAACGTTTTATGTAATCCTTGCGTGCGTACACAAAGTTGAAATAAGTTCAACTTTGTGCACGAATTATGTCAAAATTATGTTAAAATCTAGGGACTTTTGAATGCTGCTATTGAATTCCCTTCGACAGTTGGCACTTGGCACTTCACACCTTTGATTATATTATACATATAAATTATAATGAAAGCTTCACATTGCGAGTCTGTTCAGTACTGCGAGTTATCAAGTTCGAATATCGTATGAAATTGTAGGTTAGATATTTTGATTGACTCAGTTTGAGGTTAGCCGTTTCTATGTTTAGCCGGGAGTTATTCCGTTCTGCGTTTGCGCAGTTTAACAATTCTTACAGAGTTCACTCTGTCCACTGTGAACGTAGATAAACATAAGCCAGACACAAACCAAAAACGTAAATTATGTTATGCGCTCGTTCTTATGTCTTATGTCCATTGTGAATGGGCAGTTAGAAGGCATCTCATTAGCCAAAATCAGTTTCATCTTAACAGCTACTAACCCCGACCACCCACTCTCTCTTTTCGTAGGAAGTATGTCACTTACCAAAATCAGTCTTATCTTAGTAGCTTCTAAGCCCGCCCACTCATCTCTCCTGTTTTTAGAAGGTATCTCATTTGCCAAAATCAGTCTTATCTTAACAGCTGCTAAGGTAAAACTAATTTTGGCAGATGGCATACCCTCTAAGAAAAGAGAGGGTAGGTGGGCGGTGCTACTACCTGCTAAGATAAGGCTGATTTTGGCAAATGACATATCCTTTAAGTAGTAAGGTACCTGCTAAAATAAAATCAGTTTTATCTTAGCAGCTACTAGCCCCGCCCACCCGCCCTCTCTTTTCTTAGAAGGTATGCCATCTGCCAAAATTAGTTTTATCTTAGCAGGTACTAACCCCGCCCACCCACCCTCTCTTTTCGTAGAAGGTATGTCATCTGCCAAACTTAATTTTATCTTAGCAGGTACTAGCCCCGCGCACCCACCCTCTCTTCTCATAAAGACTATCTCATTAGCCAAAATCAATCTTACCTTACCAGCTACTAGCCCCACCCACCCACCCTCTCTTTTCATAGAATGTATGGCATTTGCAAAAATCGATTTTATTTTAGCAAGTTCTAGCCCCGCTCACCCACCCTCTCTTTTCTTAGAATATATGTCATTTGCCAAAATCACTTTTATCTTAGCAGGTACTAGCCCCACCCACCCGCCCTCTCTTTTCTTAGGGGGTATGTCATTTGTCAAAATCACTCTTATCTTAGCAGGTATTAGCCCCACCCACCAGCCCTCTATTTTCTTACTGGATATGTCATTTGCCAAGATCGATCTTATTTTAGCAGGTACTAAGCCCGCCCACCCGCCCTCGTATTTTCTTAGAGGAATCTCATTAGGTAAAATCAGTGTTATCTTAGCAGGTAC